ACAGTACCAAATAAAATCTTAATTATATTTTATGTGAGTTTTAGGTAACCTTCGTTAAGTCAACATTTTCTCTGCTACAAGAAGTCAATCTCTTAAGTTGAAAGGTTTTTTCCTTGTGTGAGCAGTCCTCAAAACTGAGACTGCGACCTCTCCCTTCTTCTCTATGGAGACTGTACTAGCCACAAGGCTGCAGTTGTGGTCCCTCTGATCCTTCTATTCTCTTTCATTTCCTAAAGTTTCTCAATATTAGTGATGAACAGAGGAGACTTCTTTAAGAATGGTGTCTAGACTGTGTCTAAATGGAACTTGTTCAGAAGCTCGATTCCCTTATGATCCCACGGTGGCACAGCCAATGCCTGCCACCAGAGACACACAGACTGACATAGCATGGACAGAATTCTAAGGCTATGAATGGCAACTGAGCTAAAGCTTTAGTTATTAATATGAGCACTCTTAACCTTGTGAATGTTCTCACATTTACTCTGCTTCTAGTCAGCTGCAACTCCTGGTCTGACAAAGATGCCACTTGGTAGCTCAAAACTATGAGATTTGTGGCACATCTCTTGTCCCCACACTTAGGGCACAACTCCTTTTAGCATTTTATTCTACAACTTAGTTCACAGCACGTAATACAGAGCTGGATGACAGTCCAAGCAGTAGATGCTTGAAACCTAGATGATGTCATCATTCTCATACACTACACAAGTCTCTTATTAAAGTCACTGTAAAATCATAAAATTCACAGTTTCATAAGTACAAATCTTTAGTTAATAGTGCATCTAGTCTGAACTAAAATTAAAATAAGAATCAATTTCTTTTGACACAAAATAGAAAGCAAAAAGAGAAACAAACAACAGAAAATAAATTTATAAAATATTTTTCCCTTCTCTTGCAAAAAGACATCTGAATAACCATGACTTTATTTTAACTTTGCTGTAATTGTAACCAAGTAACAAGAATATATGCATAATAACTTTGACCTGGATGTTTGAATAGCAGATCAGACAGCTACCGAATTACCTGAAAGTATTACCATATGAAGAGCTTGTGCTTCCTAAATGCTGTCACTCAAAAGGCTTTTGGCATCTCTTCAGAGCCACTCATTTACTTCCTTTACACAGCAGTAAACTTAGATTGCCTCATATATTCATAGAGAACATAACAACACCATTCAGATTCTAAAGTTTTCCTTGTACTCAAACAAATCATATAGTCAAAATTATATTTAACTTAGAAAAGCAATAACTTATGCTCATGATTTTTATATGTGCATATAATTTCTTCTATTTTGTTAGCAATGTGCTAAAATTAATTTTTATGACAGGTCGGAGGAATTACAGATGTTATTCAAGTATTTACCAGCATTTTTGTGATTTCATATTTATATTTTATGACTTAGAATTATTTATTAATTTCTTTCATCTCTGAACATTTCATGTAAACAATCACTAACAAGTCTTCTTAATTCTTATTGTTTAATTAGACTTGCACATGAGAATTTGGGACAACCTAGCTAAATAATCACTGTAAAATCTCAAGTAAACCTCAGTAATTCACTTTAACATGCTTTCAATTTAAAAATCTTTGACAGGAAGAATAATTTTGTTTTATCTGCTATTTGAACAAAAAAAATACATAAAAATGAATTAAGAATTATGGTATCATTCACAAAAACTTGCTGTTTAATTTTAAAAAACCCAAAAATTTGTGGAATATTTTTTTTATTGAGCTATCTCTTAATCCCAACCTCAGCATGGGGATCCCAGCTATTTTTTGTATCTTTTTTAATGCCTGCATATTTTAGCCTTACCTAAGGCTAAACCTGCAGTCTGTATGTATGTCCTATCTCCCTTCACCTAGCAATTTTTTAGCTGGGCGATTGTCAAGTGTTAAGCAAATTGGAGAAAAACAGCAAGTCTTAAAGATAATTAAGACTCTTACAAGTTTCAAAAACGGAGATCTAAATTAGTATCCCCAGGGGCAGGAATGTGGATAGGAGATGGCTGGGCTACTCAGCATTCAGGGAGCTGCAGACTAAGCACAGCTCTATTGTTTCCTAGGCAAAGAGGGTCGGTAATAAGGGAAATAGGAAGATCAGGGTTGCAGTTGAAATTGGTGACCTTAGAGTACAAAGAAAACAGAGCCAGCTTTATTAGCTCTACCTCCTCAAGCATCAATGTTTTTACTAGTTGGCAGACTATGCCACTTCTCTGTGATCCTAGTTCTATCAGATTCCTAAGAGTTTAGACAGAAAAAAAACCCCAAAGAAACCAAAACTAAGAAAACCCATGAAGATTGAAAGAAAAATGTGCATTATTTTACAGCAAAGTAATTTACTTACAGGAGAGCAACACTCTCAAAGACTAATAACAGTTTATATTTCTGGAAGTTAATGTACTGTGCACATTCAATGGGTATTTGAACCTAGTTGCACGGAAATGTCTTCATAAAGGTTCAGAGCTACAGGTTTCCCAGGGGTAAACATGTCTTTAAAAGTTCTGTGTTAGAATTCACACTGGACTTTTTTACCAAACTCCTGATAAATAGTTGAGGTTTTAAGAAAAAAACAATAAAATAATCAGAGGTGGATTATGGCCACTCTGACAAAATAGGTTAAAACCAGAATGTGTTTAATCTCACTTTCTTCACATAGAGGGAATATTTATATATGCAATATTTAATCTATTTATCAATGTATGCCTCTCATTTTTTAAATTAAGGCCCTTTACCCTTTGTAAAATGTCAGATTTGAAGAAAATATCAAATATGTGCAAAATGCAATAGAGGCAGTGAATTACTGAATCTAGAACCATCTGGTGGATCACACTGAAGCACATGGTTTTATAAAAAAGAAATTAAAACAGGGAAATATAATATTACAAATTTTTGGCATACTTGGTCACTTCTTTCTAATGTGGATGCAGTCAAAAGTAAAAAAGCCACCTTTTTTTTAATCTAACAGATATGTGCTGTTAGAAGGTTATGATTATATTTGATCCTTTAGGTAACATCGTAACTTCCACAAAGGTTCTTCACTCTCCTTGTGAGGACAAAGCAGGTGCGGGGATACCAACAGAACTTATAATCACCCAATTACCTGCTATAAGTATACCAGCTGCTCTTGCAAGATTTCAAAAATGTCAACCTAACTTAAAATAATGAGTTGTGAGCTGTATGCCTATACTTGGAATCAGGGTCCTTAATTGTTGGACTGTGTACAGTTACGTCCTGCCCATTTTAAAAGAAAGCAGCTATATATTCAAAATATCATAGTCTGACCAAACTGCAAGCTATTCCGTAAAGCTACTGTAAAGCAATAAAACATCCTCTAAAGATACAAAAAAATAAGTTGACAGAGAAGTTTAAAATGGAAAAACAGTTAAAGAAGATGAATGCTCTCTTATTGCTTCACATTTTAAATGGTACACATCATACTGAACTAAATGTTTGGGGTTTGAGAACCACAATGTTACTAGACATAAAGCAAGCGTATTCATACATTTCTTTTTTTTGAAGCTGTTATCACAACGATCCAATCCAAGACTGAAGACCTACTTCAGTTCTAAGAGATTCACACAAATTCCCCAAACAACTCCTGATACTGGGTTTACCTGTGTACCCGTAACCAAATGCAAACCCCCAAATTACTAAGTAGCACAACTTCATCACATAAGTTGATATAGAAACAACAAAAAAAAAAGTCTATCATTATAGAGCATACACATTTATCTTCATTCTCTCTCTTTCTGTGATTACAAGTAGTCACAGAAATTAGTGACAATTCTAACCATATACTTGAGGAATTTACAAAGAGTGCCACTGTTCACTCTTTAAGCAGAGGAATAGAAATAGTAGGTACACCAGCCTTTCCTTTTCCTGAAAAGGTTCCATTAATCAAAAGGCATTATTTTATTAGGCTGATGCCATAATGCTCCTATTAATATTTCTTTTGAAGATGCTCTAGTCCTTTAAACTGACATACTTCAAGTACCCATATGGTTAAGGAAAAAAAAAAAAACGAGAAAGGAATTAACATTACATATCATATAGTCATAAATGATACATCACTTTTGTGTGAATAGGACATGATTGCAATACATAGTTAATACTGAATGACAGCTGAGTGACTTTTTTTGTCCATGTCTTAGTTTTAATATGTGTAACCAGCACTTAAATAATTTGCAGTCTTACATCCTGCACTTACTTACAGCTTCCAAACTGTTCCAAGCAAGGTTAAATATTTTTTTGTATCTGTTCATGTACTTTATATTGTCATGTTTTATGACACTGTAAATATTCCTGAGCCATGGGTGACTATTTCATTATCTACACATCTGGTTTTAAGACTGAAAATCTCTTAATCTCAAGTGGGGTAAATCTGCTGTGATAGCCTCAAATGACCTGAAAAAGTTTTTTCAGTCTAACTATGTAACTTAGCCTTATGGAACTACTAAAATTATGGCATCATCCCTGGACTGCCCTGAAGGTATCAGAATTTCTGCAGTGCTGTGATTTCACTCTAGGCATACTTCCCAAACCAGAATGGTCCTAGAATTAAAAGGCCTCTAATTATCTTCCTTAATTTCTACACTCGGGAAACTTTCATCTTGACATATTTGGGGTGTTACAATAAATTTATAGCATTCCAGACCTCTTAGCCATGAGAAAGTAACAGCAAGAGAGGAAAAATCTTTTGTGCTCTCAGGAAATCTCTCTGTAAAGCAGTATTTTGAAAGGCTTGTTCTTATAGTTTGAATAGTTAGCACATGGTAGTTTTCTAAAAATGCTTATAAAGTCTAGAGAAATCACTGATATTATCAAGTTATTATTTAAAGAAGGGAAAAATCCCCCCTCCCCAAGCAGCACCTGCACATGTGGGTTTTTTTGAAACTTTGAGAAAATGGAAACCCCTCAGGTCAACACAGCTTTTTGAAACAAGTTTCTTTGCACGAAGGAGCTGCTTTCCCCATGTGGTCACTCACCAATATTTATGAGGGAAGGTCACTTGGAATGCCACCAGCAGATGAAAAACAGGAGGAAAGGAGGGGTTTTCTGTCTTCACTGAGCTGGGTGATTCTGCCAAAGTGATAGCCGACATTGACATTACACAAGGGAAAGGTTGGCGTAGTCTCACAGCCCCAGCTCTGCTGCAGAAACAAAACAAAACAAAACCAGTGTATACTTTTCAAATAAGCATAATGTCAAAACATTAAAAGTCTGATGTCTGGAATAAAAATGACACTTTAACCTTGGCTTTGAAATAGCTATCTCAAACCTACTTTAAAAATAAGATTTAAAAAGACCCCTATGGAATAAAATGTTCTTCCATAAAATTAATCAATCATTTTAAGGGTTTAGTGGAAAGAAATGGCCATAAACATCTTATGTGCTCAGCTGGTGGTAGAAGGCAGACAAAAATTATAATTCTGATAAAAATGAGGAAAAGATGAGATTTGAAGTGAAGATTGCATGCAGAATACATGGCAGGGAATGACAGAAAATTTTATAGGTGAAAGTAGCCTACGGAAAACTTAAGGGAAAATTGAAGGATTAATAAGAGGTCCCCATTTTTTTTTTTTAAATTTATTTCATTTTCTCAGCATCTGTGCGAATTTTTACCTATACGTCTTATACGTCCTAAAAGAAAAAACTGTGATGAATAAATAAACAGCTCTAGAAATCTTCAATAGGGTCCTTTACCTTGCAGGGAATATTATCACTGGCTTTTGATACAATTTCTGCTGCAGGGAAAGACTTTCAAAGCTCAGAATGCTGAAGTATTGCCAGGCACTCAAAGACCCCCTGCTGTGCGCGTCAAACTAAGAAATCTCTCTGAACTTGTCGAATTAAAAGTCATCTCTCTCTCTCTGTAACCCCTGCATGAGCTGGGAAGCTCTGTCCTCATTTTTTCAGGCCTTCCATGATAAACAAATGGAGCCTGAAGCATCTTTATTCTTTTCAGGCACATAATTAAAATTCTTTTAAAAATGTAATTGAAGGCAATGAATTTCAAAAGGAGGTTCTAGTTAACAGTGAGGCTAGAACAGTTTCAGTAGGCCACACTCCTTTACCATTCAATTTTCTTTCAAAGGTAAAAGCAAAACAGCTTGTTATGATTCTGGGTGTATTTTTTTTAAATTTTGTTTGTACATCAATAGTTTGCACCAAACCTAAACATCTCAGCAGGATTTATGCTTTCTGGAATGTCATAAGACTTAATTACTGAAAAAGCAAAGAGAAGTATACTATAAAAATATGAATAAAGTAAAAAGTATTCTTGGTTTCTCTAAATCATTATTTATATATCCCCTAAAAATTAAATAATATACCTACTGAAGTATTTTTATTTTCTTGGCAGCCCTCTTTTATTAAATAAATATTCACAACCTTGCAAATTTTTAGAAATTTGATAAGGCATAGAATGGTAATTCTCTGTGATGACTATTGCTGTAAAACATTGTAATGACTGGTTACAATACATATGTTTGATGTTGTCAAGAAAAGAGCAAGTGCTGATATAATTAATGATCTCAAATGACTATAAAAGGAACAAAAAAACTATCTCCCTGGATTTGAATCCCAGGGATTATCATGCAAAATTAACTTAAAGCAGGCAGGAGACAAGACAGTGTTTCAGAAAGTCATTTCTAAGGTGACTTCCTAGAGAGCTTAAAATCAAAACCAATTTTATTTTTTTAACATCTCTTTTAGAGTGATTTTCAGTACCCCTCTCTGTTGCAAGCAAAAAGATTCAGTTTTTACCTGTTTCCTCCAAGCTATGTTTTTAAAACTGGTACTTCTGGCTATAAATGACCATATGAAATATAGTTTTTTAGAGTTTTCCCTAGAGAAACTAGAGATGGAGATGTTTTAAGGAACGTTATTTACACTTCTTGTAGCATTAAAAAAAAAAGCCAAAAAAGGTGTAGCAAGGAAGCACTACTCCCACAACGTCTGGGTAGTATTCTGCCTCTGATAGTTATGATGCCTCTGGGAGACCTGAGACAACACAGCAACAAAGCGGCTTTTCATCCTTGGAGGGGGAAGCACAGTATGTGTTCTGCATGGGTCAACAACTGTTCCGAGTAGTAGGGAGGTAGGAAAAGGACCTAGTCAGCTCAACTGGAAAACACAATGACAAAGCAGATCTAGCAGCAGCAAACTAGGGGTTTGACTACACCTTCAAGTAATACCTCTTCAAGTCAGATATTATATCTTTCCTAGGTTTTTTGGTTTTGTTTTTGTCTTATGCAAAACCTGGATATACCACAGTGCACAGCCCATTCCAGAGGTCATGCAGAACAGGCAATACAGAGAACAGTGGACCAAGGTTGACCCTCTGTTTTCTGCAGTTGTCTCACATTACATCAGCAGGTTGGAAACACTCACATTACCACATGCCCTCATTTCACACCCAGAACATGTAACATACAACTATCACAGATGGCACAGAGCCCACCCATTATGCTCCAATCTGGAAAAAATTCATAACAAATAATGGTTATTTGTTATATAAATATATAAATATAGTAAGACCAGACTGGCAGAAGAGCAGCATGACCAAAGCTATTCATTAATTTCTACCAGTGCATTGTTTACATGGCTGCAGTCTTAAAATTATAAACAATCAAAAGAATAAGGCAGTCCCTACTATGCCTTGTATCCTTATTACAAAAACCTGAACTCATAGCTTTCCCTTCAGAAAACTGGGGAGATTTAGGACAGTGTATTTATCATGTTTAATTTTACAGAATATCTTAATTGTCATGCAATCAACAGAAAGCATAGGAGTAATCATCAAGAAAGATGAATGAACAAAAAACATAAAAAAATGTAGTCAAATTAATATTTTCAAACTTCATTTCTGCTATAAATCTGAATTAATGAAAGCACTGTGATTACAAAAAGGAACTCATCTTCCACCACAATTTTTTCTGTCGAATGCAAAGAACATTGGACAAAACAACAAAAGAAACAAGATCTGCAAAAAAGAGACAGTATCTGATATTTAAGAAAAAAAACCCAGTGTGATCCAACATGAGTATTTAAAGTCTGTTTGCAGAATGAGTAAAGGCTCCTTAAAGTTCACTGAGCACTCACTGTGAAGTTTAGGGAAGATCAGTAGCTTAGAAAAAAGTGGCTACTGAAATATGAGTCACATTTATGAACAAAAGTGATCAAAGTCTACTTGGCTGCTAGAGTGTCTTCAGTTTATTCCACTGCAGTACACATATTGCTTGATTGAAAGGTGTGTGAATATAAGGCACCCAGGTCTATCTACAGTCACTGTGCCTGAAATTGTCATTTGTTATGTCTGACTTCCTTTATTGATTTCTTTCTCCTAAACAGAAGCTGAAATAATTTTTATAACACTTGGGAACACAAATGTTTACAATATTTACAAATATTAAGCAAATTTAAAAGACTAAATACATTTATATTAATGTCTTTTTCTCCCTCAAGCTAAAATTATTTTAAAAGCTGTGATAAATTAAAATTATTCAAACTTTGGTCCCAGTCATATACTGCTACTATGACAGTGATGTTATACGGACATACCTTACATTCTTACATGTCTTGAAGATTTCAGACACCTTTTTCAATAGAGAAAAAAGATTGTTTTTTATAACATTGTCAAATAAGAGGTTAATACAAGTAATTTATTACTTCAAATTACGCTTGTTGGTTATGAACAACTACCGTTTTTATGTTATAAAACTAATATCTGACTTGGGCAGAAAATTAGGATACCTATAATAAAGCTCTCCAAGATACAGTTTGGATCCAGTAGCTCAGTGCTGTGTAGACAGAACTGTTGGCAGATGTTGCCCTAACAATTTGGTATGAGGTAGTGCTACTACAGAAGAGGGAGTGAGTGAACGTAAACCCAATTAAGACTTCAACAAGAATAGCGAGACAGAATATTTCAGCTGTTCTCTCTCTTCTGCTAAACAGCCTGATTTCCATATCCTAAGACAATTTTCCAAATTCTGTAAAAGGTTATCATGCATCACAATTTAAAGTTTTTGAAGACTGAAATGTTCCTCTGTTTTATTCCTGTGACTTGATTCTTTAGATTAATATAGATATGAGGCTTCTTGGCTGTACTGTTCAATCATATATTCTGTAATTACAACAAAATACCTTTATATGACAGCTATAAAGCAGAGACTAATACAAAACAGTGAGGAATTCCTCAGTGAAATTTGCTATCAAATGACAAGCTGTACACATTTAAATAAAGATGTTAAAAATAAAAGCATAACCTTATAAACATGTTCAACCTCCCACATCAACATTGATTTTAGTAGTCTATATGAGGCAGTAATCCCAGGAAAAAAAATAAATCAAGAAGTATTTTACTTTGCTTTTTCTATCCCTCTTGGATATGGGCAATATGATGGCCTCCACAAAAATCTTAAACATCAAAAATTATCAGAAGTATTGAAATTAGCATTTATTTGCATGATGTATGAGTAGACGCTAATGAAGAGAACAGATAATCAACAAAACAGGCCCTAAAATAATTACTTTGCACCTAATCCAGCTACTAAGTTCCAGGTCTTACAAATAAGTTTAGAGTAGGAAAGAAAGAAGTTACTTATTTTCAGACAATTCTGTTTATATTTAAATTCCAGTATTGAAAGTAACTATTAATGATATGAAGGAAAACTCTGAGTGAAATCTTTCTGATGACTTTATATAGAACCTGTTAAGCAAGCATTTCTTCAAAAGGAGGTGCAAATTATAGAGTGCAGAAAGTCTGGTGGTCTTGTTGCTGTAAGAGCAAAGACAAAACACTGATAACACTGCAGAAAAACCTAAGTTTGTGTTAATGTAACTCACTCCTACCATATCTTGATGTATTTAATGCTTTCTTTGTGTTGACATTCTCTTATGAATAATCCTTGCCTATCGGTCATATAGGAGCCCTGTGACCCATAATTCCTGCTGCTGTACTCAACTTAAGAGCCTGAGAATAGGGAAAGAATGGACTAATTTCATTTCACCTGCAGAAATTTCAAGTCTTTCAAAAAGGCTAGATTAACACAGTTATACGTCTGAGTCATAGTAGCTGAAATCTACCCCATTTATATAAATGTTCTTTAAATGTTAAAAATCAATTGTAAAAGATTCCTGCACATTG